ATTGTATTATATAATATAATTATATATAATAGAATATTAAAAAGCTTTAATATTTCAGAAGTATATTATAATTCTTAATAATCTAATATAATAGAAAGATTCTAGGGATTAGTATAGAGAATAAAGGTTTATATAAGAAATAGGATTTTATTATAATATAAAGTTTTATACTCAAAAATAATTATTAGTTTTATTATTATAATTTTAAGAATTATAATTAATTATAATCTTATTGAATTCCTATTTGAAATCTAATCTAAACTATCTTGAGAGATCTCTAAACATTTTTACATAACCCTAGAGGCAGCTCCCGTAATATATAATTCCTATAATATTGTTTTTATAGATTATAACATTAAAGCTTACCTTTATCTTATAATTCATATTATAGTACGGGTATCTTCGTAATATATACTTCTGATTTGAATTCTTTATAATAATAATTTATATAATAATTAATTCTATTTAGAAATCGAATTGAAAAGTTATAGCTAATAAATAAAAATAAATAATTATATTTAAATATATTAATATAATTAGAAATATTCTATGATTTATAATCATTTTTAAAATTCAAAATATAAATTCTATATAAAATCTAAAGAATGTATTTCAAAATTAGTAATTCTTTATTAATATAAATAAATAAACCTTAAATAACTATAAATTAAAATAACTAAAAAAAGTTTTTAAATTAAAATTCAAAAAAGTATTAAATAACTAATTTTAGCTTTTAATTATAAATAGCTTTATTACTTTTTATATAAAGAATAATATTAATTTATTTATATTATTTTATTATTATTTTTATTTACTTTGATTATTTAATATTATAATATATAAACTAATAAAATAATATTATATTTTAAAAATTAATTAATATTTTCGAATTAATATAAAATGAATCTAAAAAACTAAATAAATAGAATTTTCTCAAAATATTAAACAAAAGTATTAAATTCTTTTAATATTAAAGCTAATTAAAAAGAAATTAATATCATATTTTTTGCTTTACAAAAAGTATTTAATTTATTATTATTTAATTTCTTCTAATAGCGTTTTATTTTATAAATAAGAACTCTCAATTAAAATCTAGATTTATTTATATTTAAAAAAATTTCTTCAAATAAAATAGAAGTAAGATAAACAAATCAAGTCTTTAATATAATTTTAGTATATAGTAATTCTTTTATATTATTAATTTATTAATATATCAAGATAACTTTATTTTGGAAATAGTTTTCTAATATTCAAAAAATAATTGAAATCCGAAAAAAGAAAACTAAAGGCAAAAAAATCAAACTATAAGATTAGTTTGTTTTTAATATTAAGAAAATATTAAAAATAATATATAAAATAAAGAAAAACTGAAAAAGAAAAAGTTATAAAAATGATTATATAAATATTCAATTAAAGAATTAAAAGAAAAGATTGAAAAAGAAAAACTAAAAAATAATTCAAATAATTTAAAATTAGAATTAGAGGATTATATAGCTTATAGAATAAGATTATATATAGAATAATTGAAAAACTGTTCGAGTTCCCTATATATCCGAGTTCCTTATATGTTATATTAATATATATAATATAAATAAAATCAAATTGAAAATTGAAAATATTCAAAATATTTATATAATAATTGGTTCTATTTAAAAATCAAATTAAAAAATTATAATTAATAAATAAAAATAAATAATTGTATTTAAATATATTAATATAATTAGAAATATTCTATTATTTATATTCATTTTTAGAACTCAAAATATAAATTCTATATAAACTCTAAAGAATATGTTTTAAAATTAATAGTTTTCTATTAATATAAATAAATAGATTTCAAATAATTATAAATTAGAATAATTAAAAAAAGCTTTTAAATTAGAATTTAAAAAAGTATTAAATAATTAATCTCAATTTTTGATTATAGATAATTATTCAAATTGTATTACAAATAGTTTTATTACTTTTTATATAGAAAATAATACTAATTTATTTATATTATTTTCTTATTACTTTTATTTATTATAATTATTTAATATTATAATATATAGATCATTAAAATAATATTATATTTTAAAGATTAATTAATATTCTCAAATTAATATAAAACAAATCTAAAGAATTAAATAAATAAAACTTTTCAAAATATTAGAAAAAAAGTATTAAATTCTTTTAATATTAAAACTAACTAAAAATGAATTAATTTAATATCTTTTATTTTATAAAAAATATTTGATTTATTATTATTTAATTTTTTCTAATAAGGTTTTATTTTATAAATAAGAACTCTCAATTAACATTTAGATTTATTTATATTTAAAAGTTTATCTTCAAATAAAACAAAACTAAAATAAAAAATCAAATTTTTAATATAATTTTAATGAATGATAATTCTTTTATATTATTAATTATTAATATATTAAGAAAATAATTATATTTCTAAAATTTCAAAATATTAAAATAATTCTATTTCAAAAACAATTTTCGAATATTCAAAAAATAATTAAAATTCAAAAAAAAACTAAAGATAAAAGAATTAAATCATAAAATCAATTTGTTTTTAATATTAAAGAAATACTAAAAATAATATATAAAATAAAAGAAAAATTAAAGAAGAAAAAATTATAAGAATAATTATACAAATACTCAATTAAAGAATTAGAAAAAAAATTAAAGAAAAAGAGTTAAAGAATAATTCAAATAATTCGAAATTAGAATTAGAGGATTATATAGCTTATAGAACAAGATTATATATAGAATAATCGAAAAAGTATTCGAATTCCTTATATATTCGAGTTCCCTATATGTTACATTAATAATAATTTATAATAATATTATTATTTCATTTAATTATTTCTAGATATTTTTAAAACTTTATAATATACTTTAATACTAAATCTATTTATTTGAAATTAAAGATCTTCTTTATTATTATTTTTAATTTGTTAGAGTTTTGAAAGATTCTATAGATTTCTATTTTAAATCCCTCAAAACTATTAAAAATAGTTTTAATGAATCATATATATTCCTAATTATTATATTTGAAATAATTATAGAAATATAACTGAATCAACTTATTTGTTTTACCCCTAAGGTATAAAATAGTTTATACACTTTTAAATTCCTTTTCAATAAATTTGTCTTTATTGAATCTAAAATAAATTTTAAATTATAAAAAAAAGATATGAAATTCCTATCAATTTTCTTGATATTTATTTAATAAAACATTTTTAAATATTTTATTAATAATAATCTGCTGAAAAATATTAATTGTTTCGATGTCTTCAATATTAATTACTAAAATGTATTATTTTCTAAAAAACCTATTAAATATTATATTAATAATTAAAATTGAATTAATACTTAAAATAAAACGAGTGCTTAAAGTATTATAAAAGCTATCTTTAAGATTATATAAAAATAACTAGAAACCTATGAAATAATTTAAATTAAACTTTAAATAGAAATTTAATATAATTATAATTAATTACAATTCTTATAACTACAATAATAAAATTAATAATTATTCTTAAGCAAAAGGCTTTATATTATAATAAAACCTATTTCTTATATATAAACCTTTATTTTTTAAGATCAATCGATAAATCAATAAATTTAATAAATTAATTAGCTTTTAACTATATAACATTTATCTTATAGCTTTTAATAAAACTATTATTCATTTAATCTATATTTACTAATTAATTTATAATTATTATTCAATCTATATCTATTATAAAATAAACATTAATAAAAAATAAATATCTATCTTTTAATTATTATCTATTTATTTGATTATTATTATTTTTTGTTACCTTTTAATCTTATTATCTCTTCAATACTATTTTTACAAATTCTAATACTAAGTCCTTAAATTTATATTATAATCTATATTACAGTACGGACACCTCCGTAACACCTAGGGATATTAAGACCTGGAACCTTAATATATATCAGGAAATTAATAATAATAAATCTTAAATTCAAGAACTAATATATTACGAAGGTATTCGCACTATAATATGAATTATATTATAAATAAAGCCTCAAAAGAAATAATTTTATTTTTCTTATTTTTCTTATATTTTTAGAAATACTTTTCTTGTAATAAAAATCGTAACAATTCGTACTTTTTTTTAGAATATAATAAGAAATTTATATAAAAACTATATATTTAGGAGATTAGATTTTTATTATTATTTAATATTCTTTTTTATTAAGAAAATAACAATTGATTACTAAAATATAATTATTAAAAAAAGCTTAATTTTAATGTATTTTTAAAGTAGGTCATATACTAATATGAGCTACGTACTAATAAACTATATTAGTTAATTAATTATTAATAAATCGCGTATTGAAATTAATAAACAATATTTGAGATGAAAGGGTATAAAGCCATGATATGTACAGGGTCCTAATAAACCGCGTTATTAATAAGTTATTGTATAATCCATTACTCATCCAAGCCCCGAGTCAGCGGTAGGCGTCTAGCGCGATGGCCTCAGGCCAACAACATTCTATCCTACAGCCTTTGCTCTACACAACCTTGATGTGCTCCGCCTCACTAGTAGCACAGCAACGCTTGTTATGCTGTTCTACTCTATATATTGCATATGTGGAAAGTATACTGTCGACCTAAAATTTCTTCAGGAATCTTGTTGTGTAAAAGAGATACCGAGAAGAAGCTAACAGCACTGCTCGAGTCATTCTAGAATTATAACACCTCATTACTAGTACGCCACGTAAGAACTGTGCGAGTTGAGCTGTATGCAACAGTAAGTATCAGAAGCTAACTTATGTACCTTGTCACATCAAAATAGCTCTGCCACAAACATCAGATCATGCATTCCTACCCAAAGCTAGGCGCTGAGACATTGATCATGGATGCTCGACTCGAGTAAGGCTATTTCGACATAAATAGTTTGAAATTTCCGAAAGAAATCGCATTTCCTATCTTTTCAGATCTCAGACCTTTGAAAAAAATTCATGATAGAAAGCCAGTCTTCTGTTCCCCTCTTACTACTTGCAATAAGTATCAAGAACACTTCATCATGAATACCTCACTTGCTAGTGTATGTATTGACTGTACAAGATGGTTCCTACATACTAACCTTTCGTGTAAGATTCGCCCTTTGATGGATGGGAAATATCACTTGGTTTCTCGCAATACAGATGGACAAGCAGTTCCATACTTGAGTGTGGTTGAAGGACAAGTCATTGCAACTTTGGAGACGCGCACGGTTTGGTATTTCGCGTACCAACAAGATCGAGGAAGCTACCGAATTTGGCAAGACGGCACAGAGAATGTCCTGGATTCTACCCAAAACGCATATAGCCCTACGCTCGTCTTGAAGCATCACGGTGAAGACTGGCAGCAATGGGCCGCAAGGTTGCAGATGTAAGTGATACTGGCTTTTTCATTACCCGTCTGATATGATCTAAGCTAAAAACTGTGATAAGTGATGGCACGCGCCCAGTTAACGATCCTCGACGCTCCATGGGATTCACCTTGACTCCCCTAAATTTTCCTCAAAATGTACTTGCTACGGAGGGTTATGGCGATAAAATGTTTGTAAAGGTTTTGCCAGCCATATTCAATGGTGAGCATATTATGCCAAGACAGCTTTGGGTTGCGATACCTGTTTGATCTTGTCACAACATGGCCATGATATGATTAGAAACGTAATCTGATCTAATAATATATTAAAACTAGCTGGTCTCTATAAGCCTCCGTTTTATAATTTAAAAAAAACTAGTCTTTATTTTATCTTTCTATTTAATAACTGAATTTACTATATATATATTATATAGTATTTATTTTATCGCTTATTATTATGAAAATAACTATATTATAATATAAATCATGAATTCGTAGTAGCAAATCAAGGAAAACTATAACGTGGTTTATTAGGACCCTGTATATATTATATCCCTGTACACTTTAAAATATATCAAGATTTAGTCTTTTCTAATATTCAAAATTAAATAATCAATTATTATTTCATTATGAATCTATTTGATAACAAGGAAATATTGAAATAATTGATAGTCATTATAGGAAAAGTAGATTCAAAAATAATTATTTTCTTTAAATCTCAAGATTGAATAAAATGAATGTCAAAAGAAACGAATATAGATATTTCTCAAAATTATTTAAAATTCATATTAAATTTTCAGAATTAAATAATAATTATTTATTTAATTTCGAATATCAAGAAAGCCTAAATTTTAGTGTATTTTGAAGTATATAAAGTCATAATATATATAAGGTCCTAATAAACCACGTTACTCTATATTGATTATATAATCTTATATCTATAATATGATTTAGTAGGACTCTATACATGTAACAACCCTATATATTTTTACTTCAATTATTCACATTTTATTGAAATAAAACTACTACAATATTATGAACTAAAATTCAATTATATACAATCTAAAGATTAATTAATACTAAATCTAATTAATAAGTTTATATATTATATAAAACATTGTTATATAAAAGCTTGTATTTTTATTGAAAACCTATTATTTATATGCTTGTCACCGCAGGACACGATTACTAATCTGGCTGGACTCCAAGAGTATTAAGACCTAGGGCCTTAGTATATATTAGAAAGTTAATTATAATAAACTTTAAATCTAAGGATTACTAACTTAGTCTATAATAAGCCTAACATAATTTATTATCAAGTGGATTATATCACCAAGTGGATCACTTTCATCTCAAATATTTATATTTTAATTCAATATACATTTTATTAATTAATTATTATATAATTGAATAATAATAAAGCTCGGATACTTTTAGTTATTAAGATTATTCGAAAAAACAAAAAACAAAAAACTTAGTATTCAATGATTTGTTAAGATATATAATATATTATATATAATATTATGTTATAGAATAAATGATTTTACTCTTTATATTAAATCTTTATTAAATAATAATAATTTTTCGAAATTAGAAAAGGAAATTATTATTTAATATATAATTAATCTGAATATAAAAAGTTTTACATTTGAATATAAGAAGATAGAAAATATAGTGAATTATATTCTTGAATCAAAAGGAATAAAAAAATTAAAAAGTAATAGATATATTGATTTATAAAATGTACTAAAAAATTAAGAATATATTTTACTTATATTTATAATTTTCAAAAAGTTTTTTATAAAGATTCTAAATTTATTATAAATTGATTCTAATTTATTTTAAATATATAAGCTAAATTTAATATTCTTAATTATAATTTATAGAATTCTAATAAAATAGGCTTTATAATAGGAATTATAAATACTAGTATAATTATAACTAATTCTAAAAGATTTGATAAAAGTAAAGCTATATAATTAGGTAATCAAGAATAAATAATAATGATTATATATAACAATAATAAAAAGAATATTATATCTTTATTTTTAATAATTTAAAAATAAATATATCTTTTTAATTAATATATCAAAATCGATTTTTCTATAGATTAGATTATTAAATCTATTTCTGATAAATAAATGAATAATAAAATAGAATTAGAATAATTAAAATACTTTAATAAATATATAAGAAATCAAACTAAAAGCAAATATAGAATACTAGTATTAAATAAACATAAAAACTATGAATTAATATTATTTTAGAATTATTATAAAAAGAATAATATTAAATATATATATTTATTATTATATTCAACTTATTTAATTCAATCTTTTAATATTAAATATTTTAATTATCGTAGGTCATAGGCTAATAATATGTAATATGGAAGCTGGCTCTGATTAACGACTAAAATGGATTATATAAGCAGTGTGACACGTGATATTAAAGAATCTGTATTTTTTTTTTTTTGATCTCTCTTATTTTACATTCAAAAGGAAAAAGACCTCTTTTTATGCTTTTTCCTACTAATTTAGCTTTTCCGCTTTCGTTAATCTCTTGTAGATCTCTTCCTAATCTATTCATTCTTTCGAAATAAAGCCTCTTTTTGTTTTCTTTATTTTATAGCCGTTTTCGTATTTTATGACCGTTTTCGTATTTTATGACCGTTTTCGAATTAATGATTGTTTTCGGATTAATAATCGCTTTTGTAAGCTTATAAGCGATGTTCATATGATCTGATTATATAATAAGCTAATATTAGATTGAATACCTTTAAAAAAAATATATATATTATATTATTTTTTAATTAAAACAATAATCCCCTTTAATATATATTATTTTTTTATATATATATATAAATATATATATATTAATCTCATTAAAAATCTTCTTATTTTTAAAGAGAAAAAGAATACTAATTTTTAATATATATTTTTATTTTAATAATAATAATTATTAAAATTTTGAATTATATTAATAAATCTTAATAATTTGATTCTTTCTAATAGCTTAATTAATTTATCAGCTAATTGATTTTCTATAGAAATCTATATTAAATCTAAATATCCTTTATTTATAAGATCTCTTATATAATAATATTTAGTATTAATATACTTGCTTCTATTATAATATATAGAATTATCCAATATAGCTTTTGCCAATATATTATTTATATATAATAAGAATTTATTTTGATTAAATTGATTTAATTCCTGTAATATATATTTTAAATATATAATCTCTCTAGTAGCTAAATTTATAGTAATTAGCTTGGATTCTGCTGTATCTTATATTACAACAAATTGTAATTTAGTTTTTTAATTGATTAAACTATTAGTATATATAAATATATAGTTATTAATGGATTTAGTAAAGCTTTTATTTCCTGTATAATTTGTATTACAAAATCCTTTAATATATTTATTATTATTTTTTTTATATATAGTTTTAAACATTTTGATTTCTTTTAAATATCGAAATATTCTTTTTATAGTTATTATATAGTCTTTATTAGAATTAAATATATATCTTGTTAATTTTAATATAAAATAAATAATATCTCATTTAATTCCTAATACTAAATATAGTAATTTCCCTATTACTTTTTAAGCCCATTTTATTTTATTTAAATTAACTTTATTAGAATTTATTTTTATATCATTTTTAGTAATCATAAATATAGCTATAGAAGTATAATCTTCTAGTTTTAAATCTTTTAAATATTTATTTATATATTCTTCTTAATATAATTCAATATAATCTTTATATAAATTGATTTGAATATTTAAATAATCTTTTATTAAACCCAAATCCTTTAAATCTAAATAGTTTTTAAGATTTTTAATAAAATCTTTAATTATAATCTTATTAAAGTTTATAATAATAATATTATCAATAAATATATTTAATATTAATCCCAAATATTTATTTATAAATATATATTCGTTTGATTTTATATTAATAAAATTTAATTTATTTAATATGCTTTTTAATATAATATATTAAATTCTAATAGACTATTTTAATTCATATAAAGCTTTATTTAGCTTTAATATTATATTATTATTATAATATATTTTAGAGATTTTAATATATATATTTTTATTAATATCTTTTTATACAAAAACTAAAATTATATCTATTTTATATATATACCACCCTTTATTTATTATTAATACAAATATTAATTTCTAAGCCATTTGTTTTATCATATTAACAAAAGTATTTAAATAATCTAATCCATATAATTATTTAAATCTTTTAACTATATATCTAACTTTAAATTCAATATTATCATTAAATAAATATTTAATTTTATAAACCCATTTTGTTTTTAGAATATTTAATTTTTTTATATTATTATTATTCTTTTTAATAATAATATTCCAGGTTTTATTCTTTTCAAGAATCTTTATTTTATATTTCATAACTTTTTTCTAATATTCTTTTTGATTAGAATTTATAGCTTATAAATATGTTTCAGAAATTATTAGATTTTTATTATAAAATCTTTTTATTATTACTTTTTCATTAGTTTTTATATTGAAATATAATAATAATATATTCTTTTTATATTAATTATTATTAATATTATTTAATTTAAATTTATAATTTTGATTTTTTGATTCAATATATAATATATAAGCGAGATTATATATATCTAATTATAATTCTATTTTTTATATATATTTAGATTGCTTAATAGGGGTAGGTAAATTAGAATTAAATAATATTTCAATTATTAATCTGCTTTTATTTATATTAGAATCTTTAGAATCAATATCTTTATTTAAATCTTTATATATATTATTATATATATCTATCTCTTCTTTTTAATTATCAGTATTAAAGTTTTCTTTTAACTCTTTTAATAAATCCTTTTTAATAAGATTATTTTTAATATTATTATTATAATATAATATATCTTTTTTAATAATAAAATCACTAGAATTTATTATTTTATTTCTATTTGAAATATAAAATAATAAATTCTTTAAAGATTCAAATTCTACTAAAATTCCTTTTTCTAATTTATAATCAAATTTATTATTTCTTTTTTCTTTATATTTTAATATATATATAAGAGATTCTAGAATCCTAATATATTTTATATTAGATTCTTTATTATATAATAATTTAAAGAATGAGCTTTTTATAGTTCTATTATAATATCTATTTTTAATATAAATTATTTCTTTTAGTATATTAGGCTATAAAAATATGAATAGATTTTTATCTTTTATAAATATTAGTATTATTAAAAG